GTTCTACTTATATTTTTCTTTTGGTCCGTCTTACGCGGGACACCCTGTATATATATTATGTTATATTATATTATATTATATATATATATATATATATATATATATATATATATATTATATTACAATATAGTATAATCCTATATATTTTTATTGTTTATATGTAAAATTGAAATGCGTTTAAGCAATTTTGCGCAAATCCTGAATATTCTTTTATTTCATAATATTTTCTATTACATAGAATCTGACGCTAGCTGTATCGATAACAAAAAATGTATAAAAAATATTAAACTGAAAGTAATAGTCGAAGTCATTTTGTAAATAACTACATAAACTTTAGAGGTATTAAATAAAATAGATAGGTGAATCAACGCACGTATTTGCTAGGTACATTATAATATACTGTGAATACTATAAGTACATATTATATAAGCATAAATTGTAAAAACATCGTTGGAGTCACTAGAATCACCGCGTGCTGTTCGATCGTCAGGTAAGCAAACATTTTAACGCAGTCAGGACATGAATGGGTGCCGGCATTCGGATTCGAAATTACCGAAGGGAAGATTCGCGAAAGATTTGGAGTATGTTTGACAATATTCGGTTCCTAGCAGTTTATGAGACATGAGAAAATTAGGAATTAGTTTTTTTAATGAAAGCTACACGAAAAACATTTAAGCGCACATTTTTACATTATATCAAGGTTTGTGCAACATTGATTCAATATTTCTCAATGTTACTGCAATATTTACATTGTTGCAATTCAACATTTTTTCAACATTGATTCAACATTAGTGCTGTATGGGTGCTGAATAATATTTTTTTTATTTTAAATTTTAATGATTTTTTACTGAATTTTATTGAAACTTACTGAAATTGACTAAATTTTCGCTGATTTTCAATGAATATTGCTGAAATCATAATGAAAGTAAGTCAATCGATAGATTTTTTCAGCAAAATGTCAGCACATTTCATTATGTTTTCAGCAAATTTCATTATATTTTCAGCAAAATTTTTCCATCAGGGCACTCGGTCTACATATATTATATCTATGAATCGTAGTGCCTCTGACGACAAAAACGTTAAACTGAACATTTTCTCAGACGACGAATTCCCTAGTCGTGAAACTTAGCAATTTCGGACTTTAAGCTAAGATATCTCAGCTTCTGAAGAACGTAGAGCAAAAGTAAAGACATTTTTATTAAGTAATATAAACCCAAGAAATCGATTGAGTCTACCTAGAATATCATCGATTCAACTATTATGGTCAAACAAAAAATCTGGTATGCAATCAACTAATGTCGCAGTGTAAGTACACGGTTGGCCGCAAGCCCGTTGCTTCGTGCTTGCACTTGGTTTCGCGACACTACCGTGTCGCTTGATAGTAAACCATTACATTAAGCATTACTATACAATAAACATTACTATAGAATTTTGTAACCGAGAAATAAATCGCCATTCTGCAATAACTGTCTTTTCTTTCGTATGTATACTATTTATATTCTAGGAATTCAAATGTGTTATTAAAAAATTTGTTATTTTCAGATACATTAAACTATCTGATCAAAATTATCAGAACATAATAAATTACAGATCATAATAAATTATATATCATATAATAATATTACATAATAAATTATATATCACATTTTTTGTCAAATTTTTTGCTTTTTTGCTATGGAAAGCATAAAATGAGAGCATTTTTTGCTCTGATCTTTAAAAAGTTACAGAGTAAGATATTATTATCTTAAGTCTATTATCTAAAAATCTTAAGTCTATTATCTAAAAATGTCTTTACTTTTGCTCTACGTTCTTCAGAAGCTGAGATATCTTAGCTTAAAGTCCGAAATTGCTAAGTTTCACGACTAGGGAATTCGTCGTCTGAGAAAATGTTCAGTTTAACGTTTTTGTCGTCAGAGGCGCTACGATTCATAGATATAATATATGTAGACCGAGTGCCCTGATATTATTATCTTAAAAGTATGACTACATGAATAAACAGTATTAAAGAAATTAGTTGCTCGCACTATAGTACAAAAATCTTTTCTAAGTTATTTGCTTTTAAGATATGCAAGTCCCAAATTTTTTATTCACAAAATAAATTTAAAAAATTTACGATCAGACACTATGCAGCCAAACCAAAGCTTACAAGAATAAAGTGCATTAAAGAAATTCAGTCAGATGAAGTAATAATTATTGTATCAATTTAATAATTCGTGGAAAGTGATTTTTTCTGTTACAAATAATAATAAAAAATAGCAGATAATTTGTACACTATTGATTTTTTACTTTTGTTTGTGTGTATACGTTTTTTATAATAGCTAGATAGTTTAAAAATAAGCTATCCAGCCACTTATAATTTTTTTATAGCTAGTGCACAAAACATCATTTTCAGGAAAAGAAAGCAAATAATTAATAAATAATTTCAGATATGTTCATTTTTTACTTGAACTTATGTGTACCATATTTTTTGGAAATAGCTAGATGGATGTGCGTGCGTGCGTGCGTGCGTGCGTGTGTGTGTGGCTTGAATCTTTAGGCTCCTCCCTTGTTTATCTCTTTTTAATAACGTCAGAAGCGAGAAAATGCATGCTAAAAGTTCTTGTGAAATATGTTGAAATAAAAATATATATCCATAAAGTAACACTTACAATTAATTAAACAAATTTGTAAGATATTCCGTGCACTCCCCTTTTGCTCTAACAATCAATAATTTATTGTAAATTAATTTGAATAGAAATAGGCGAAGAAATAGGTTAAGAAGATGAATTGTATGTCACGTTAATTTACAACAAATTATTGATTGTTAAAGCAAAAGGGTAGTGCACGAAATATCTTACAAATTTGTTTAATCGATTGTAAGTGTTACTTTATGGATATTGTTACACGCACACAGATAAATCGCCGCCGTACTTGCCCAAGTAAACAAGAACACGTTTTAACAGAACAAGCTTTATATACAGCATAAAAACAAGCAAGTTCGTTCTCTTTCTTCCAAAAGATAATTTACAGAAATCCCACACGTCGCAACAACACACGTCAACTCTCCGCCGAAGCCTGAGTGCGATTCTCTCTTTTTTTTTGTTATTCCCCTATCAACCAGCTGACTGCTTATCAATTCTTGACATCGTCGGCCTAAAGCGGACAACGGACACTGCTACATAACTTGTGTCCCGGACACAACAATATATATTTTTATTTTAACATATCTCGCAAGAATTTTTAGCACGCATTTTCTCGCTTCTAACGTTAAAAAGATATTAAAAAGAGATAGATAATACGAGGGGCCAGTAGTCTTCTAAGCTATCTGACCACCTGTAACTTTATAAAGATCAGAGCAAAATATTGCTTTGGTAATTATATAGTTTACACTCCTCACCTCCGATTTTAACGAAAAAATATTCAATCGACGCGTTTTTTTAAAGGCAAACAATTTTTCTATTTGGAAAAATCGTCGCTCTCTACTGCGAAGCGAGATATTAATTGATAAATTTGATCACTTTGTAGGTTAGGAAAACTGTCACACCGACGACAAACAGCGACATGTACCTGAGCAAAAATTGAATCTAGTGATTGTCTAGTAATGACACAGAAAAGTTGGGTCTTACATCGCTACTAGCTAGGAATATAACACTCACTTTTACTTCTAATGGCTGTACCAGAAAAATTATCTAGCTAGATACAAAAAAATAACTTGTAATTCTAATTAGTACAGATACTAGACATTTCTGATATCCAATTTCTGTTCAGGATTTACATGAGTAATAAAACATTATTTAAACATTAGTATTGAAACGTTTGTAAACAATGAACTGGGGGTCCAGGGGGCGAAATTCCCGGTCAAGGGGGTTTAGGAGGGGGGCTTCACCCTACATAATAATAAATATATTTGATAAAAATAATATTCTAAAAGAAAATAAAAATACATCTCGCATAGTGTGTTAAATATGTGTTGTTTTTGCGTGTGATTCATACGTCCTATCTTGCGAAGGGGTCTTACTAATCTTTTTAATATCTATTTTAGTATATAGTAAACTCATACATTTAATAAGGCGAAGATTTAGTAGAACATTCTCCCTTGCGTAGGAATCTTGCTCATTTTTTCGATATTAACGATTTTTAGTATATTGTAGACTCATTTATTTAGTAAGGCAAGATTCAATAAATATATTTATAAAAATATAAGCAATGCATTATAAGTACGCACATGCTTCATTTGCGTACTTTTGCGTGAGATTTGTTGCTACAGAGATTATACCTATAAAATCTTTACCTTACTGAAAAAATAAGTCTACAATACAGTAAAAATCATAAATATCGGAAAGATTAGCAAAATCCTTACATAAGTGAGAATGTTCTACTAAATTTTTGCTTTACTAAATGTATGAATCTACTATATACTAAAATAGATACTGAAAAGATTAGTAAGACTCCAACGCAAGGTAGGACATATGCATTATACATAAAAACAACACACACTTAATGCGAGATGCATTTTTATTTTTTTTTAGAATATTATTTTTATCGAACCAAAGGGGCTTCGCTCCCCCTAACCCTCCTTAACCGGGAGCTTTGCCCCCTGGATCCCCAGTTTGTTTGCAAATGTTTCGTTACTTATGCATGTACAAGTATATTCCAAATTCGCGCACTGCTTGTATATGCACATTACCACAAAGCATATACACGTGGTGCAGACTTTGTATATATTTTCTTGTAGCTACTTATATACTGTAAATATATTATATTATCATATATACTATTACATAGTCATATATACTATTACATGTCAAAGTTAGTCATTAGAGATAGATATTTTAAACATCACTTATCCATTGTAATTAAAAGACATTACAACAGCAAATAACATTTATTACAATATAAAAATATATAATATTGCACCAGTTAGTAGACTTTAATTTAACATTGTGTGTTTAATAACATTTATAATAAAGTGCAGTTTATGTGGCAATATTGTTAACATTAATAAAGAAATATTAATATACCAATGTAGAAAACGGTACCATATGAAAAATGTACACAAAAAACGCGTGTTTATGCAGTACTGGTACTTAGTTCGGCAGATGTCCCCGGCTGGTCTTCGAAACTGGATTTTGGAGGATATAATTCTGCGATGACATCGAAGAAGTTTTCAATTTGTTTTAGGCGGCTATAGGCGCGTTTAAAGAGATATTCGCATGAATATCCAAGGACATGTTCTTCACGGGTTCCATATCTTGGAATATTTCCGCGAACCTCTCTCCAAACGCGCTCTATGTAAATGTGCGCCTGCAAATAACAAATTTTTTTAAAACATACAAAGAAAAAATAAACATAATTACCAAGTAAAAAGCAAATATTAAATCTTACTAATCACACTTTCTAATCGTAACAAGTTGGTCACATGGGATGTGGCACACCTCAATATCATTTTCGTGTTGCTATTTTAATCAGATCGCATTTTTAAATTATTTAGTGGTGTTAACACATTCTTGAAGATCATAAAAACATGCATGCAATAGATAAAAAAACAAAAAAACATACTTAGATTTAGCGTTAAATTAAAAGTTTCGAAAAAATAAATTTTCAAAAATTCGTCAAATTTTTAAATAATAATATTAAGGTCTGAAAACTTCAAAATTTTACTGCTCAATACCTATATTTTTTGGAAAAAAAATAGTTTATAAATGGATCTTAATAAAAGTTATTTCACAGTGGGGTGCACTACACTCTGTTCCTGCTTTACGGACTGCTGGAAGCACACTGACGCCTCGCCAACTTAACCGAAATGTTCAAACGCATAGTTGGGAGTCTTGACTAACGGCAGGTGACGTCCCTGACCCTATTTTGAATGTTTAAGGGAGCGTAATTTGAAATTGAAAATTGCTTGGGGTGCTGTATACCCCATATGACCAGTAAGGGTTAATCACTTAGAACTTTCAGGATCAACGAAGTTATAGGAGTGGTTTACTGTCAAATGTTGGAAGCATTCAGTGCTTAAACACTTGTACAACTTCCAACAATCTGACGCGATGGTAGTTCCTGGCAATATCCACTCTTTTATTATATTCCATGCCAGGAGTATTTTCTCTGTTCGATTTTGTACTGGAACGATGAAAATCTTCTTCGTGTCTCGCTCATACCTTCCAAATATCCAGTGTCCAGTGATCAGTCATCCACGATTGTACTTTCTTTTGCCAATTTTTTTCATCAATTTCTACTGTGTCCTGGGCCACCAAGCTTTTCACTGTGCTTTTCAGCCCAGAACACACAGACCTGTAAGAAGAAATTATATCATTAATGTTCTATTCATTTTATATTTTTTAACTATATAGTTTCTATATTCACATATATATATATATATATATGTGTGTGTGTGTGTGTGTGTGTGTGTGTGTGTGTGTGTGTTAAAATATACTTACCTTTCGGCAAAAATTGAACCAATCAACAATCGTGGACAATGATATGATGCCGGTTTCATCCTGAATGTCATCTTGACGTGGGTGTCTTAGCATTAAAAAAACATGCAACAATTCGACATATTGTTGCCACGGCAAGATGGCTTTTCCCGAACCAAGTACCTTCTTTTGCACTAATATATAAATTGCACTGCTTTAACATACGTTTTTTTGTGTACATTTTTTATATAGTACATCTACATCAGTACATTAATGTTTCCTTATTAATGTTAACAATACTACCACAGAAACAGCATTGAATTGTAGATGTCAACACACCATACTGAATTAAAAAATCTTTTCTTTATCATACGTTATATAGCCAAATTCTAAAAGACAACATTGTTTGCAGTGCTATACGGACTATATGCGTTGTTACTATACATTGTTGCGTTTTATTTGTTATAATATACATTTCAAATTTCGTGCATTATATTTCGTATCACTGAGCATGCGCATGTGGCTACAGAGTACACACATAAGGCTACGGGACATATACATGTCGCTGTTCGTCGTCGGTGTGACAATTTTCACATCTTTTAAGCTAGCAGGACCAAATCGGCAGAATTAAATCGGACTTATGTAATTATTTAGTACCCATTTTGTACTAATTTGTATAATTACTGCAAATTTTGTACCCCGTGTTTTGAAAAAAACAGGGGCATTGCCAAGTTACGATCAAGGATTATAACAAAAAAAAAACCGGAAACAACGTATGCAATCCAAAGTACTGAATTTGTACTAAATTTGTACCATCAAAAGAAACTCAACATATTGACCCATTAATCGTAAAACAACCCCTAATTAAAATCAACCTTATTAAGCGCAAGAATAAAGTATTATTTTTCATCAGCAGAATCCAATTGCGACTGGTGCATTAAATAGGTCATGATTTGAACAAATAAAATACAAAGTATGAGATTTTGTACCCTCGGTGTTTCTTCATAATCCACCCCAACCCCAATTATGCGCAAGATTAAAGTATCATTTCTAATCAGCAGAATCGAATTCTTTGAAAAATATATTTTCTCAATGTAAAACTGTATATTAGTATAATATACAGTTAAAAATAAATATATTATTAGTACTCGAGCGAATAAATTTTTTATTTCTTAGATATTTTTTTCTTAATGTACTAGTAAAATTGAAAATAATTTATATAAAAAAAAACTCTTCCCGTGTACTTTTTGGAGTCTCTTAACAACGATGAGTTATCAGTTAATAGCGAGAGACCGAATAACGCAGTTAAATCATAACGTAGATAGTGCAGACATACAGTCCAACATTACGTATCGCTCGCTGTGTTGCCAAGAGATCGTTAATAAATATCTTGAATAAGATTGCCTAAAGAACTCGTTCTGCCTTATTATGAGCACTCTCACTCGCTAATTTTCTTCAATTAATGTCTCAATAATTATTATATTTGTTCACGAAACAGTACAAGACTTTTTCGTTCAGTTTAATGAGTTCTATCTGCATACAATCGTGTAGGACGTTCGTGTAGTGTTAGATACTCTATATACCGAAATAATCCCGCGTGCGCAATCAGATGATTCTTCTGATACAGATACACATGTTTTAATGGGAGAGGGGGAGAGGGAGAAGGGTGAGAAATATTAAAGAATTTTGTTTGAAATAGAATGAAACATGTGGGACTGCTCGGTCATCGAGTGGGAAAGTGCAAATTCTCGCACCTAGTTTAATATTTATCGGGCTGGCTGCATTCAATACAAACTCGACGTATTGCAACCAGACGCCTACCGTTACCATAATATCGACTCCATAATGCAGGACTATCTTTACAAAAGGATAAAATATACATACACGCGCGCGACATCGGAGAAACACCTGTAGACCTCTTTATCGGATCTCGCTCTATCAATAACCATTCCAACTTACATGATCGTATCGGAAAGTGCATTATTCAGCCACGATAGCTCGCATTCGATCTCTCGCAACAATGCTGCCAAAATTGGTCGAAGTGTTCACACAAAAACCGATAAAAGAGAAAGGCGTCTTTTAAGGATCTTCATAGACCATTTGTCCTATTGTATCTATTAACCCATTAACGGCTGACAGTAAACTACGTATCATAGACTTCCGGAAAATTTTTAATTCATGGCATTAGGTCGAAATAAGAACAATAAAACTGTTGGCGTTCTCCTCTTTTTTAAAAACTCAAAATGGCGAGCCAATATGGTGAACCAAAAATTTGGAAAGTTCATGGATGTTAATGAAAATTGATATCAGGGATTTTTTTGGGACGCTAAATTCGAATCTGAACTTAGTTTTGCGAAATATGATACAGTAGACCCAATATGGCCGCCGAGATTTGTAAACATACAATGGTTTCCGAGAAAATAACTCTCTATGAGCTAATGCATTTGGAAGCTTCAAAATTTGCAGCTTTGTGGCATCAGATCACAATAAATACAATGATGATACAATTTTCCATCTATATCCTGAAATTTCAAGATGGCAGGCCAATATGACGAACAGAAACTCTCTCGGGAATTCTGATTCTTACAAACATTTGTGAGCCATATTGGGTTTCACTTCATCAAATTCAGCAAAACTAAGTTCAGATTCAATTTTAGCACCTCGAAAAACCCCCTGATAACGATTTTCGTCAATAACCAAGAACTTTTCAGTTTTCTATTCACTTTCATAATACGTAATTTACTGTCAACCCTTTAAGGGGACTGAAGAGTCAAATTGTTTGAAAATCGTGCTTGTTTTTTCACAATTTTTTATGACAAGCTGAATGAATATGCAAAAGTGTTATTTTGACGTGTATTTATACAACATGTAAAAAGAAGAAAAATATAATTTTAATGATCAAATATTCAATATAAGTGTATGGTACATGCAGTTAAAATTTCGTTTTTATTTTCAAGGTCATCATTTTGCAGTAATATCTTGATTCTTGGTGTCCAACCATTATAATATAAATTGAGTAAAAGTTAATAAAATTGCAAATATCTTAATAGAATATAAATTTTCAGTTCTTTTATAGTAAAAAAATTAATATTTCAAAATTAAATATTTTCACGAGTTTGTCAGTAGTTCACACGATAACGACAAGCTTACGGAAATTTTCTACCTAAAATTCAGCTTAATTGAACCACCGAGAGTCAAGATATTACTGCAAAATGACGACCTTGAAAAGAAAAACGAAATATATTTTAACTGCATGTATCATACACTTATATTGAATATTTGATCATCAAAATTATATTTTTCTTCTCTTTATATGTTGTATAAATACACGTCAAAATAACACTTTCGCATATTCATTCAGTTTGTCATAAAAAATTATGAAAGAACAAGTACGATTTTCAGGCAATCTAATCCTCCAATCCTCTTAATGGTTTAATACGCGTGTTTTGGATATTATACGATGCATACAAGTTAACATAATCATCGAGATTTGAGAAGCTGGACTTTATGAATTTTAATTCTGAAATGCTGAGCGTATAGTTTACATCGCAAAAGAAATCTTTATTCAGTAAACACTGACAACATTACATAATAATACCGATGACTCACCAATTATATATATATATATATAATCAAAGAAAATTGTTACAAGATTGCGTACCATAATGCACAAATTTTCTTTAATTAATATCTGAAAATCTATGTTATCATTTACAAAATGGTAGAGGATTTTTTTGTTCAGTTGTCAGTTTGATTTAATGTACAAGTATACAACGGCAGACAGCGCCATTGCTCATCTACCATATCACGCATGATCATTCATCAATCTTTTTTAATTAATATTTTGACTATTATTGGAAATATCGCAAAATGGTATAAGACTTTTGTGTTCATCTCAATCCGCTCTACGTCCTCACGAGAGATTATAAAGGTGATCTGGGACACCCTGTACATACATATATATTTATATGTATATATATATATATATATATATATATATATATATATATATAATCATAGTTTAATTATAATTTTATCGAAACGTGAGATTAATTTTAATTTTATTCTTATGTAATTCTTATTTTTATTTATTAATTCTCATTTATTCTTACATAATTTCAAATTAAAACAAAAATAAATAAAAATATATTCAGTGGCAGATTATACATACACACGCACACACATATATACATATATATACATTCTCCAAGATATAATCAGTGTATTTTTCACTAAAACGCAATACTTATAACTTGTGATACAGTTATAAGTATAGCATTGCAATCAGTAAAACCTCATTGAAAGAATCAGCGATTATGCCAATTATTATTATTAATGCACTTTGCAAACACAGACAGTGCACGCGAAGCATATGAAAACCGTTAATCCCATCATTACAAACGTATATTAGTATAACGTATATAACGTATATCTGTATTAGTATATTAGTATAACGTATATGTGTATATTATAGATCTTGCAGTGAGATTTTACCTCCACTGATAAAATCAGTGAGGTGTAAAACAGAATAGTAAAGCGCGAGTGTTTGTACTGAAAATCAATGAACACTCATGGATAAAACAGCCCTTTTACTGGTTAAATTAGAAACATTTTTACTGTTTCACTTTAAAAAAATATATAGCTAACAAATTATTTCGAGCAACTCAACGATTTTAAAGAGATCTCCAGCAAAACAAAAATTTTTAAAGATCGAACAGTAGCCGCGCCGTTTCAAAACGGTCAAGGATATAGATACCCGACGAAATTTGAGCATCCTACATAGATCCAAAAAGGCGTTCGCTTGGCAAACGGTATATCTCCCGCTGTTGAAACAGCGGAATCGCTCGACTTGACCAAGCAAAAAGCTTGGTGGGTCCT